GGCACCTACTTTGGCCCATTCTGAGACTGTCTCAAAAGGAATCAACCCTGTAAGTTCAGCCGTGTCAATTCTAATTGATTTCGTAATCCATGTACTATTGAAATTTGAATAAGCGCAGGTACGTGTTACCACTCGTGACTGAGGGATCTCAGGGCTGTCAGAACTGTTCTCAGGGCTTTTCAGAGGCATTCTGAGACTGTCTGAAAAGGAATCAACCCTGTACGTCAGCCGTGTCGATTCTAATTGATTCGTAATCCATGTACTATTGAAATTTGAATAAGACCAGGTGTGTGTTACTGCTCGTGCCCAAGGGATCTCAGGGCCGTCAGAACTGATTTAAGGGCTTTTCACAGGCATTCTGAGACTGTCTGAAAAGGAATCAACCCCTGTACGTTCAGCCGTGTCAATTCTAATTGATTTCGTAATCCATGTACTATTGAACTTTGAATAAGACCAGGTGTGTGTTACTGCTCGTGCCCAAGGGATCTCAGGGCTGTCAGAACTGATTTAAGGGCTTTTCACAGGCATTCTGAGACTGTCTGAAAAGGAATCAACCCTGTACGTTCAGCCGTGTCGATTCTAATTGATTTCGTAATCCATGCACTATTGAAATTTGAATAAGCGCAGGTGCGTGTTACCACTCGTGACTGAGGGATCTCAGGGCTGTCAGTCCACTTCAGGCACCTACTTTGGCCCATTCTGAGACTGTCTCAAAAGGAATCAACCCTGTACGTTCAGCCGTGTCGATTCTAATTAATTTCGTAATCCATGTACTATTGAAATTTGAATAAGACCAGGTGTGTGTTACTGCTCGTGCCCAAGGGATCTCAGGGCTGTCAGAACTGATTTAAGGGCTTTTCACAGGCATTCTGAGACTGTCTCAAAAGGAATCAACCCTACGTTCAGCCGTGTCGATTCTAATTGATTTCGTAATCCATGTACTATTGAAATTTGAATAAGACCAGGTGTGTGTTACTGCTCGTGCCCAAGGGATCTCAGGGCTGTCAGAACTGATTTAAGGGCTTTTCACAGGCATTCTGAGACTGTCTCAAAAGGAATCAACCCTGTACGTTCAGCCGTGTCGATTCTAATTGATTTCGTAATCCATGTACTATTGAAATTTGAGTAAGACCAGGTGTGTGTTACTGCTCGTGCCCAAGGGATCTCAGGGCCGTCAGAACTGATTTAAGGGCTTTTCACAGGCACTCTGAGACTGTCTGAAAAGGAATCAACCCTGTACGTTCAGCCGTGTCAATTCTAATTGATTTCGTAATCCATGTACTATTGAACTTTGAATAAGACCAGGTGTGTGTTACTGCTCGTGCCCAAGGGATCTCAGGGCTGTCAGAACTGATTTAAGGGCGTTTCACAGGCATTCTGAGACTGTCTCAAAAGGAATCAACCCTGTACGTTCAGCCGTGTCAATTCTAATTGATTTCGTAATCCATGTACTATTGAAATTTGAATAAGACCAGGTGTGTGTTACCACTCGTGACTGAGGGATCTCAGGGCTGTCACTCCACTTCAGGCACCTACTTTGGCCCATTCTGAGACTGTCTCAAAAGGAATCAACCCTGTACGTTCAGCCGTGTCGATTCTAATTGATTTCGTAATCCATGTACTATTGAAATTTGAATAAGACCAGGTGTGTGTTACTGCTCGTGCCCAAGGGATCTCAGGGCTGTCAAAACTGATTTAAGGGCTTTTCACATGCATTCTGAGACTGTCTCAAAAGGAATCAACCCTGTACGTTCAGCCGTGTCGATTCTAATTGATTTCATAATCCATGTACTATTGAAATTTGAATAAGCGCAGGTACGTGTTACCACTCGTGACTGGGGGATCTCAGCGCTGTCAGAACGGATTACTTCAGGCACCAT